TATGGTTGATATAGAGCAAGACACTGGGGTGGTGGTGGTGGTCTTTGTTGTTGATTCACATAAGGTTGTTGTATGTTCCTCCAACTGAAATTTGGGTGGTTCCGCCACCCTAGATTGTAGGTTTCATAATAAGGGTTGGGATAAAGCTTGTTAAAATTGAAAATTGCATTGGATTATTCCAACAAAACCTCCTTGAATGCAGGAATGGTAGGGCCCTCCCCATTAGAGTGTCCTCACAATACACAAATTCAGCACACTTGTTCTGTGGGAGGTCCAATAGCAACTTAGTTTACCTTCTTCATCTATACAGCTTCGAGCTTTCAAGATAAGGTGGTCATCTTGACCCTAAGGTCATCATCCTCTTTCAAAACATATTTTTCCCCTTGGGAAGTGAACGGGTTGGCTTCAGTAGTGGAAGGAGAGACCGAGTTTCCCATTTGGGAACTCTCGGATATGGTATCGAAATACTCAAATGCCTCCTCAAGACTTTTTCCCATAAACTCCCCTTGAGTCATCATCTCTACAAATTGATGTAGTCAAGTGGGAGAGCAACATAGAAAAACCCTATCAAAGTCCAACTCTCGAATGTATGTTGTGGACAAGCTTAGAGAAAATACTTGAATCTCTCCCAAAATTGGTAGAAAGTTTCTCTCTTTGACCGAAAAATTCATGATTATTCTTTTAAGTGCATTTGTGCGGTGTAAAGGGAAATATTTCTTGAAAAACTCAGTTTGTAACACTTGCCAACTAGATATGGAATGGACTTTTAAAGAATTGAACCATTGTTTAGTTTTGCCTTTTAAAAAGAAAGGAAAAAGTTTTAACTTGGCCAGTTCATAATTATATTGGAACGTCTCACGTATCTCCTCAAATTCTTTAATATGTAAATATAAGTTCTCTGATTCGAGTCCATGAAATTGAGGTAATAACTGCATTATACTAAACTTCACATTGAAGTTGGGTGCATTTGTAAGAAACACAAAATAAGAGGGGACACTACTCCGTATGGGATGTAAAAACTCCCTTAGAGTTTGAACATTAAGAATTTCTTCCTCTCTTTGATTATTGGTCATACTATTATCAAAGGAGTTTGGTATTGATCGACGTGAAGAGGGTGGATGATTCACAGACCCAAGTGATTCTTCAGACGAATCTTGAAAGAGAAGATATTCCTCAGACATAAAAAAAAAAGAATTATTTATAAAAAAACTAAAATATATACACAACAAATCTATGCCTCTTCACTTTTTACTTCAAAACACCGTTTGTTTTCCAGCCACGGCGCAAAAAATTTGACTTGTTTTGAAAGGTGTACACCCAAGTGCAGTCGATCAAGTTGTAGTTATAATCTGATTAAGTTCGGAATCGAATCCATAGGGAACTCATGTCGATGTTTTAAAGTTAAACCCTTGAAGTTTAAAGTTGAGATGATGATGGAATTTTCTAACAAACTATAAGATTCTCTCAAACAAAAATAAAACCCATTATTTAGTTCGAGGATCCGACATGTGCGGATGTGTTCGGATGCCATGTTTGTGTAATATTAATTACTCAATTAACTCCTACGTTAGTAACAAGTTAATCAGAGGATAAAAATGAAATGTGTAAATTAAGAGTATGACTCTGATGTCTTTATAGAAAATCATAAGAATTGATTATGCCAAGACTTAACCTGTCTATAAACAATCAAATAATTCTACAAAGCATCTAGATTAGTTACGCTATTCAATCATAAGTTAAGGCACAATGTAAATAAAGATTGTAAGATTGTCATGAATACCTAGCTTAGATACTTGTAGGGAATCGTTAGAATCACCTATGCGAAGACTTAGTTCGTCTATAAGTGATCAACAATTGTACAAAGCACTTTAGTTTTGCTAAATGCATTCAATCATTCATCATATAAAGGAAAAGATAAGACAATAAACATAAATGAAGTTCACAAATATAACTTCTAAACAATAGTTTACATGTCATTCATCTCTTACTAAAGAGTGGATGAGAAACTACTCATTCTTTATGACTTTGACGAAATTAGCAAAGTGAGTGAATCTCATCTCCCTAATAGAGAAGCTTTAGAATTACAAAGGTAAAATCACAAGAAACAAAATGATTGTCTTCAACTAAGAATGAGTGAGACACTACCCACCCTTTAAAGTCACAAGACAACTAGAAAGGTGAGAAATGTTCACTCCTCTAGGTGAAGGAGAAAGCTACACAATGAAAGCTAATGAAAGTAACACTAGAAAAGTAGAAGAAAATTAGTTAATTTGGAGGGTTTATTCCACTTCCAAAGTTGTTCCTTTGCTCCAAGATGGTGGGGTATTTATAGGAGAAGAGAATACAAAAATCCGGACTTGAAGTTTTATCATTCTGGAAGAGGCATTTGAACCCTAGGTGGGGCATTTGAACGTTGCACCTGGCATTTAATGCTAACGAGAATCTTGTTTGGATGTCGTTGACTTTAAAGGGGGCATTCAACGCTAGGGGTAGGCATTCAAACATTGCCCCCAATCCTTGCTTCTTGTTTGATTTTGGCAGGATTTGTTTTTGACTTTTGATGGGTATTCGAACCCCTCCTTTGGCATTCGAATGGTGCCTCCTTCTAGAAGCTTTGGTTTGGCCGTGATAAAGACTATTTTGCCCTGCATTTCATGTCAGTGCTCCAATCTCCTTTTTTTTTCTCAATTCCGCATTATTTATTTATAAATAGGATGTAAACTTCACACAATTAACTTGTACAAAGCATATTCAAATGTAAAGATTAAGGGTTAATCAACCTACTTGAATCGGTGTAATGTCCTAAATTGTAGTTATTCAGACTACTATAACGAGGCATAAGGCTACTTCTAGATTCCTTTTATGCCATTGAGTAAACCATTCATTTGAAGAAACAAATACTCGTGAAGAGAGGTAGAATGGAACTAAAAAGCGTTAGTGGGCAAAAATGAACTGAACGAGTTTATTGAATTTTGCACTAAAAGAATCAAAACAACGTTGCAATCACCAGATAGGTGATTGGATTAGAAGTAAACTAAACGAGAATAGAAAGCAAAGTAGCACAATGGCAAGATTGGTATGCTATTTATTGACTTGTTGATGCTGGTGTTAGACCCTTTTTCTAACCCATCTTCTTTGTTTAAGGCCATCTTTTTCGGCCACTCAGCTTGCACCTAAGGCCTCTCCCCCACAACGGCTACAACGTGTCCTCACTGGTCTGTAATGGATGCCTCTACTTTGCCACGTTTTGGTACGGCTCTACATGCTCTCAAGATCCTTGAAAATCTTCTGCGTAACTGTTAAATCGCATAAAACCTCTTCTGACCTTTGCTTAGCCCCGGATCTTGCCACATGCTCTTTTTCAGATTCTACATATTTTGGTGTAAACACTATCCAAGCGCACTTTTTATAAGATGGATTTTGTGAATTCGAGGTTGTTTTTTTTATATGAACATTCAAACAATACTTAATGAATGAAAGTAATTTTACTATTAAGTGCTTTTGATGAAGTACTTATTCAAAAAGTATTTTCTAAACACTACCTTGATTTTTCGTTAACGCAAGGAGTTTCCATTTAGAATCACTGGACATGTTCTGTTGTCTACCAAAATCTGTCAATCATATAAATGTTGTAGAGGGATATTTATTTATGCACTAAAGCCTGTCAAGTCCTTGGAGACTGGGTTATATTTATTCAACAACAGGAGCTGAGTCACACGATTTGCCTACGCAGGCCGTCGCTCCCAAGCTCCGAGTGTTAATTCGCCCTTTAAGAGCGAATTCGCCACAAATCCACGGATTCATTTTTTTTAAATCCACAAATTCATTTCCATAAATCGTGAATTCACATGAAGCACATTAAAAAAATTATATTAATAAAATTTTATATTCCATTTCTTTACTTCCAATTACACTTGTCTCGATAAAAAGAATTTCTAACTAAAACCTCACGTGAAAGTCACACCTGAAGCCTAAAAGGAAGGGAAGAGGGCACTGCCTTTTTATAAGCATATTAGCCTTTCCCTCGTTTGTCGACATAGGACAAAAATAAAAGGCATTAGAATACCTAGGCCTTAAAGCTTCCTTTAGTTTAAACTTTGAACATTTCTTTTTTGTATTGATTTCGTTCCTTCTTTTTTGCTAGGCCATGTTTTCTTTTCTTATTGTTTTTACCATAATCTTATTTTTGATACTTTGATATTGTGTATTAATATGTCATATATATAAATTTGACGCTCTTAGTGATGCTCTCGCTCTCAACTTTTTTTGAAATTTTACGCTTTTGTGCTCACGCTTTTGCTCCCACTTCTGCACCCGTTTATGCTTTATGTGATCTAGAATAGGACCTCTATTTATCAAACTTATAAGCAAAGAAATCATAATCAAAATATGATATAAATTAATGAGAAAATTGAATAGATACCCATGAAATGTGCCACTCTTTACATTTGGTCCCGTCCGCTTGAGTTTGTTTCAATTTTAATCTCATACTTTAAAACCATAGCAGTCAACCGCTTCTATCCAAGTTGAAAGAAGTGCATTGGGCTTTTGCCAATGTTTTACGGGGAGAACTGCACTGAAATGACTGTGACTACGGTTTTAAAAGTGTGCAAGTAAAATTGAGATTAACTGAGGTTTAAATGACAAATTAAAAAAACTAACGGGCCTTTGGTCCAACGGTATTCCTTGTCTTGTACTGGTATTTTATGAACAAAGATCATGAAATTTTGAGTTTTTTTTTTGGTTAAATCTTAAAGACTAGCAACTGGTTATTCCTTAATCCTTCACACTTATTTCGATCATTCTTGATAAACAATCAACAACAGCATAAAAATTTGTTTATCTTCTAAAATTTTATTTTCCTTCAATTTTCTCGAACTTTGGAAGAAGACAACCTTGATAGTTTTTCCAGAAAAAAGACTTCACAATTTAAGAGAATGATCATAGCGTTGACCATGGAACTTCCTAGATAGTTATTTGCTGAAATTAGTCTTCTTTGATCAGTGCTTAGCAGGAAGATTCCTCTTTGAAACCTCAGAAAACAGTAATTCCAAGTCGTCCTTCATGTCTTGTGTCTCTTGGTCATATGGCTCCTCAATATGGCTTGTTGATGCTATCTCCTTGTTCTTTCCCCAGAGAACTCCATATAGTCCTATAACAATTAAGACAGACCCTACAACACTGAACCCAACCACAACAAAAGATTCATTATCCGAAATATGACAAAAATTGATCCGGATTATAGAACGAAAATATAACTTCATTTTGATAGACCCAATAGACATGCAAGCAATTGATTATTTTTGGAAGTGGCATGCATGCAGTTAGAGTACTAGGTTCCCTCAATTTCCGCAAATCCTATTGGAGCTGCTATATTCATGTGGGTTCCATATCAATTTACGACGGATCGAGTTATAGTTAAGAAAATGTTGTATTGCAGTGGGTTATAATCTTTATGACACAATAAACTTATAAATTACTAGCTTTTTAAATGAGGTGAAATAACAACATTCATTAATTAACCTTGGGCTAATTTTGGCAAAAAAATAAATAAATAAATTGAGATTCCGCATGCAAAATTCATAATTTATTGAAATAATCATGTACTTACGTTCCAACGAATAATTTCTCCTGAAGTAAAGCCCAACTGAGGATAGCAACAATGACAAGCAACAAGGGGCTGAACACTGAGACATAGAGAGGACCTTTCCTTTCGATACACCAAGACATAAGGCAAAATGCCATTGCAGAACAAACAATACCCTGAAATCACAAAAAGGTTTTAGTGTTAGTCATAATTTTACTAGCAAGAATAACTAAAATTAATTTATCACTCACACAAAGTTGTTTTACTTCCCCTATACATCCGTTTAGTAAACAAGAAGCAAAAGAGGACACTCATGGGCAACAAAAAAAACAAAAACAAAAACAAAAACAAAAGAGGACGCTGAATAATAACACTTTTGACCCCTTCACTTATGCTTATGCCCTTGTCTCGGGTTGCCTTCTCAATTGTAATGTTTCTTAAATTATACCGGCTACTATAGTTATTGGTTTTAATTAGCTTGCCCCACTTGCAGATGTCCATTATAACTGGAGAGAGAGAGAGAGTTGTGATATTTTACCTCTCAACTATTTGATTTTATTCAATTTGTCCAAAAAACAAGGTGGCTCAATTCAAAGTTGCCACTGGCTGTGCATTGGATCCTAATAACTTAACATATTTTTTGAATGATACTTACAGCATAAACACTTGAAACAGCTCGGATGCTAGGACTCAATGCCCATGCAGATGCCTCACGCTTAACCCCAAAGCCGATAATCACACATTGAAAGCTGGCCATTAAACACATCAACGCAGAACTTGAGTATGGAGCTGGATACTTGGTGCTCATTCTCGCCTGGTAATCATCCAATCAGTATCAATAAGTTACAGAGACCTTTAGAACTCTACATAAGTCTATCAGTATTTTTTTGATTATCGTCATGTGAAAACCTAATTTTTTTGAGTTAAGTTATAAATTTATGGTGTCTAGTTATAACTTTTGGGGTGTTTGGGACGGAACTTAATATTTTAATCCCAAACACCCACAAAGTATTGTAACTTGATACAAAAATATTGTAATTTGACCCCAAAATTAAAATTTTTTTTAAAAAAATTAATCCTAACTTTTTATTGTAACTTAACTCCAAAAAAAAATAGTATTTTGAACCGAAAATGTGGTAAGCCACCTCTTTGGGTACCCAAATCAAACCCTTATAATCCATAATTCATTTGAACATTTGAGAGAGAGAGAGAGAGATGTTGGTGCTGACTTGGACAATGAACCAAACTGCCCAGGAAACTGAGCTTGCTATGAGAAGAAGGGGGCCCAAGATGAAGTTGGTGTGGGTGGCAGGATTAACGTTGGCCATCTTCTCTGCATATTTCCAGTGTATGGTTGATTCACCAATTGGGATGACAGGTCCATGGTAGAATGACAGTAGCATGGCACCACCTACACACACTAGGGTTCCCAACACCTTCGCTTGCCCAGGCCTCCTCTTTATTCCCACACTTTCTAATCTACCAAACAGAATTTAAAAGAACATAAAAAGATAAATGTAAGCACAGAAATTGCATGCCAAAGAATTTTTCTTGCAAATTTCTCCCTTTCTAAACTGTAAAATATATTTTTTTCAAATATACCTAAAGTGCAAACGAGACATCTTTTTTTCTTTCACCCCACTTTCTACCATTTTTTTTCTTTCTAATCAAACCAACCCTTAAAATTATTGGTAGACATGTAATTTAGCATCTTTGTTATGAGAGGATAAAAAAATAACTAAATCGAGAAGAAGGAAAATTACCGAAAGAAGACAGCAAGGAGAAAAGTTACTGCTGGGAGTATATTTGATAATGCACAAGCAATTGTTGGAGTAGAATTTTTCAGTCCAATAAAGTAAGTAATTTGGTTCAAAGTCGCCCTGCAGTATTCAGCACACGTTAGGATCTTTGAGAGAAATACAAATGGTGTGTTTGGTTTGGTTTTGCTATTGAAAAATGAGAACGGACTAAATTATTCTAGTGGTAACTTAATATCATTAGTTGGATCATTGTAAATTATACCTATGTTGGTACAAAAATCGATAAGCATTTGAACTGAAGTGTGATTATCCAATTTTATCATTTTTTTAGGCCTCTCCCCGGCCTCCCTTCTGTCATTCGTAAAATTTTTATTGATTAAATTAGGATAATTAGAAATAGAAAAACTAAATTAGAACTTGTTGGGTTTCCCTCCTTTATGGGACTCATCAATTTGCTAATTTTTTGGTGGCTTACCCGTGTATGACTCTTATCCAAGACTTGGTTTGGAGTCTTCAAGTTAAAAGGAATTTGGCAGCCACCAAAGACTATAAGTTTTGTCCTTTCTTTGGTTCATCTCTTCTCCGTTGGTTTGGCAAGAAGACATATTTTCGGCAGTCTTTGGTTCAACAAAAATTCAGCCTTCTTCTTCTCCTTTTTGGTGCTAGAAAAATCTACAAATTTGTTCTTCAAGTGGGTAACATTTCTTCACTTGATATTTGGGTTTCTTGCGGTTTGTTCTTGGAGATTTGGTTCACTTATTTTGTGAGGTATTTTCCTCTTGTGATTTACACCTTGGTGTGTTTGTAAGGTTTATGCCTTTTGGCCACTTTGTAATATGATTTGGTGATAGTGGAAGAAACTGACCTACCGGTCGTCGTGGATGTACCTCAAGTTATTTGAGGAAACCACGTAAATCTTGTGTGCTTATTTATTTTCTGTTATTTTATTTATATTGCTTCCATTGATTTACACTTGTGGGAAAGTCTATTTTCCCAACATCTGGTATCAGAGCAATTGGTTAATTCGGTTCCGATTCGTTATATTTCTGTGTGTGAATTATGGACGGCAACGTTGGACGTATGGTTAGTTTCAATGGCACAAATTGGGTGACTTGGAAAACTAAAATGGAAGATCTTTTATTTTGTAAAGATTTGAATGGACCCATAGAGGGTCATAGTGGCAAACCGGAAGGGATGAAAGATGACGAGTGGAAAAAGCTAGACCGGAAAGCTGTCGGTTTTATTCGGCAATGGATTGATGATAGTGTCTTTCATCATGTCTCTACAGAAAAATCTGCACATGGTCTTTGGACCAAATTGGAGAGTTTGTATGATAGAAAGACGGCAGTGAATAAAGCCTTTTTATTTCGAAAGCTTGTGAACTCTAAATATAAGGAGGGTACTTCAATTGCAGAGCATTTGAATGAGATTAAGAGCATTGTGAATCAGTTGGCCGCCATGAAAATTACTTTTGATGATGAGTTGCAAGCTTTGTTACTTCTTAGTTCACTTCCCGAAAGCTGGGAAACTTTGGTGGTCACAGTTAGTAACTCCGCACCTAATGGAGTGGTAACAATGAGTCAAGTTACCAGCAGTTTGTTGAATGAAGAAACAAGAAGAAAATCATCAGGTTCTTCTTACTCCGAGGCACTTGTAATGGAAAACCGAGGGAGAGGCAGGAGTAAGAGTAGGGTTCCGCACAACCGTAATAAATCTAGAGGTCGTTCAAGCTCGATGTCAAAAAAGGATGTTGAATGCTATTATTGTCACAAGAAAGGGCACATGAAGCGAGAATGTAGAAAACTCAAGTTCAAGGAGCAGAACAAAGAGAAAAATTCAGAGAAAAAACAAATTGATACAGCTGTAGTTACCGATGATGAACTCATGATTATCCGTGATGATGCTAGCGTTAATTTGATTAGCCAAGAGACGGATTGGGTAATTGATTCTGGAGCTTCATTTCATGTTACTTCGCGGGCTGATTTCTTTACTTCTTACTCACAAGGTGATTTTGGGAATGTCCGTATGAGAAATGAAGATGTGTCAAAAATTGTCGGCATGGGTGACATTTGCTTGGAAACAAATATTGGATGCAAATTGCTGCTTAGAGATGTGAGGCATGTACCAGATATTCGACTCAATTTAATCTCTGCTGGAAAGTTAGATGATGAAGGCTACATCAACAATTTCAGTAATGGAAAATGGAAGCTCTCCAAAGGTTCTCTAGTGGTAGCAAAAGGAAAGAAGACTTGTTCTCTTTACACTATGCAAGCAAAAATCTGCAAGGGTGTTGTGAATACCTTAGAGAATGACTCATCCACTGATTTATGGCATAGAAGGCTTGGACATATGAGTGAAAAAGGATTGCAAATTTTGTCCAAGAAAGAGCTTCTAGTGGGGATAAAAGGTACGCCTTTGAAAACTTGTGTTCATTGTTTCCATGGTAAACAAAACAGAATATCATTCCGTAGAAACATTGCATCTAGAAAATCTCATGTTTTAGATTTGGTACATTCTGATGTATGTGGTCCTTTGAAAGTTAGGACACTTGGTGGTGCTCTATACTTTGTCACTTTTATTGATGATCACTCTAGAAAAGTTTGGGCTTATACACTGAAAACTAAAGATCAAGTTCTAGATGTGTTTAAGATTTTTCAGGCCAAGGTTGAAAGAGAAACAGGTAGACAGTTGAAATGTGTTCGCTCGGATAATGGTGGTGAATATATTGGACCATTTGATCAGTATTGCACAAATCATGGTATCAGGCATGAAAAGACAGTTAAAAAGACACCTCAACAGAACGGGGTTGCAGAGAGAATGAATCGCACCATTCTTGAGAGAGTCAGATGTTTGCTCTCACATTCTAAATTGCCAAGATCCTTTTGGGGTGAGGCAATGAGGACCGCAGTTGATCTTATCAATTTGTCTCCTTCAGTTCCGTTGAATGGTGATGTGCCAGAGAAAGTTTGGACAGGGAAGGAAGTCTCCTATGATCACTTGAGGGTATTCGGCTACAGAGCCTTTGTTCATATTCCAAAAGATGAAAGGTCCAAGCTTGATCCAAAAGCAAAGCAATGCATATTTCTTGGCTATGGGCATGAAGAATTTGGATACAGGTTGTATGATACAGTTGACAAGAAAGTTGTCAGAAGCCGAGATGTTGTTTTCTTGGAAGATCAGACTATTGAAGACATCGACAAGCTTGAGTCAGCTGAGTCTAGTACTGATGATCTTGTTGATTTAGATCCTCTCAATCCCTCTACTGTTCATGATATTGATGAGGAAGTGCAAACACCTCATGATGATGCAGCAGAAGATGATGTTGAGCCAGAGATTGAGGGGGAGCAACCACCCCAAGAGCCACTACCACAGACACCGTTAAGGAGATCTACTTGAGAAAAACAGCCATCCAGAAAATATTCTTCAAATGAGTATGTGATGATATCAGATCAGGGGGAGCCAAGGACTTATCAAGAAGTCTTGAAGCATGAGAACAAAACTGAATGGTTCAAGGCAATGAAAGAGGAAATGAAGTCTTTGCATGAGAATCACACCTATGATTTGGAGAAGCCGCCTAAAGGGAAGAAAATTTTGAAAAATAAATGGGTCTTCAGACGAAAGAATGATGGGAACAGTTCTCAACCGAGATTCAAGGCACGACTTGTCGTGAAAGGTTTTGATCAGAGAAAGGGAGTTGATTTTGATGAGATCTTCTCACCAGTTGTGAAGATGTCTTCCATTCGAACTGTGCTTGGTATAGCTGCGAGTATGAATTTAGAAGTTGAGCAGCTTGATGTGAAGACCGCATTTTTGCATGGTGACTTAGAAGAGGAAATTTATATGGAGCAACCTGAGGGCTTCAAAGATAAGGGTAATGATCAGTTAGTTTGCAAATTGAAGAAGAGCTTGTATGGATTGAAGCAAGCACCGAGGCAGTGGTACAGAAAATTCGATGCTTTCATGAGTGAGAATGGGTATTCAAGAACCACTTCAAACCATTGTGTGTTTGTGAAGAAATATAAAGATGGTAATTTTATTATTCTCTTGCTTTACGTTGATGATATGCTTATTGTGGGCCAAGACACGAGTAAGATTAGCAAGTTGAAGTCAGAGTTGAGTAAGTCCTTTGCCATGAAGGATTTGGGTCCAGCAAAGCAAATTCTTGGGATGAGAATTGTTCGTGACAGATCACATGGGCTGATTTGATTATCTCAAGAGAATTATATTAAAAAGGTTCTTGAGAGGTTCAATATGGACAAAGCAAAGCCTATTAATTGTCCACTTGCAGGCCACTTCAAACTAAGCTCAAGTCAGTGTCCTACAAGTGATGAAAAGAAAAATGAGATGCAGAAAATTCCCTATGTTTCAGCAGTTGGTTCTTTGATGTACGCCATGGTTTGTACTCGACCGGATATTGCTCACGCAGTTGGGGTTGTCAGTCGATTTTTGTCTAATCCAGGGAAAGAACACTGGGCAGCAGTGAAATGGATTATGAGGTATCTTCAGGGCACTTCAAAGATGAGTTTGTGTTTTGGTAAAGGCAAGCCTATTCTTGATGGGTTCACAGATTCTGATATGGCTGGTGATGTTGATAGTCGAAAATCTACTTCTGGTTATTTGATTACTTTTGCAGGGGGAGCAGTGGCATGGCAATCAAGATTACAGAAATGTGTTGCTCTCTCCACCACAGAAGCTGAGTTCATCGCCATCACTGAAGCTTGCAAAGAATTATTGTGGTTGAAGGAATTCTTACAAGAGTTGGGTTTGAAACAAGAAAGGTATGTCCTTCATTGTGATAGTCAGAGTGCAATCCACTTGAGCAAGAATTCTTCATTTCATTCGAGATCGAAACATATTGATGTTAGATATCATTGGATTCGTGATGTCTTGAATGATAAGTTGTTACAACTTGAAAAAATTCACACTGATGATAACACTTCGGATATGTTAACTAAGACATTGACTAAGGACAAGCATGAGAAGTGTCGACTTTTGGCGGGAATGGTCGAATCCTCCACATAAGTCGGGAGGGGGAGAATTGTTGGGTTTTCCTCCTTTGTGGGACTCATCAATTTGCTAATTTTTTGGTGGCTTACCCGTGTATGACTCTTATCCAAGAC